GTAATGTGATAGGCTGGAATTGATAAGGGGTCAGAATGTTCAGCTGCCACTCCAGAGAATTCTTCAGCACATGGCTGCACTTCGTGTCAAACAGCCTCGGACTGCAGCTGGTGACAGCAGTAGCGCTCTACTCTGATGTCCTGCAAACTTGCTGCGGTGGCACATGAACCGCTCCTCCATCTGCTGCCGGCTCTGGTTGCATCGGCCATCCAGCTTGTAACAGAGGATTTACAAAGCAGAAAGCCTCCAGAAGACGTCCAGCTGGTCCAAGGAAGTGGAGTTGCAGGCCAACCATAAGATGAGGGACTCAGTGGCAGATTAGTGGTTTTGAGCAACGTCACCACAGTGGCCTTGCTGCTTCCAGGAGGGGGAAAGAGGGAGTTAGTTTACTGCCTGGCAGTAAACTAACTTTACAAACTAAATAGCACTGGTGGTTGTGTATAAATACTAATAAATGGCTCTATAAACAAGATGAAAGAAACATTAAGAACATAAATGAGAACTACTGAGAATGAATTTGTGAATGCTTTAGAAAACCTCAAAGTCTGGGAAAGAATCTACATCCTTAAGGGAATACTCACAGCCAGTAATAAAGAAATACTGAAGACAGCTTGAAATGTGATCCTTCTTAGGATTTTGTCTTAAGAAAATATAATGTCACCCTCAATTAATGAGCAATGATAACAGGAAGGCAAGGAAGAAATATTTTTGATGCCATTACAATTCTTCAAGAGAAATTAGCTAAACTTGGCAACAGCGATTCAAATCGGTAAATATACAAAAAAACAGAGATCTGACATGGTTCTTATTGGTGCATTTTACCAAACGGTTAGAAGAAAAATAAAGTTCAAGCTTTAAGAGGAAGAAACATTTCACTTTCTTTAAAACAATGTTTTCTCATGTCATTTATCCTGTTGCTTATAGAATAATTAATGTGACCTTAAAAAGTCCTTGTGAATTAAATGAAGATATTTACTTGGTGAAGGTGATGATCTCTGACGTGGCACATCCTCCTGCTTAGTCCTCAGAGATACCCTGGGGCTGGACGGCTTCTTTTCCAAACTGGAAAACAGCCAGAATCTTATCACATCCTTTGCCTCCGAGCGTTCCTTAAGAGGAGAAAGTTTAAGCCATGTCAGTGTCCAAAAAGAGAAACGTTAAAAGAACCCTTTAACTCCAGTTAAAGGGAACAGCACAGATTCTGGAGCAAGTTAAGGGCTGAAATCAGTGAAACAGCAAACATACGAGGAAAGGAGACTGTGCAAAAAGTACTTTGAAAAAACAGTAATAACAACAACTATGTGATAATTGACAGCATATGTGTGGAAAATCTGAGGATCTTAACACTTTTTCTTTGTTTAACTCTCGTTCTAAAAGGGAGAAACTTCCAGACAATTTTCAGTCAATGTGATTAGAATATTTGGAGCAAAGCTTTAAGCGGTCATCTTTGTTGAGACTTGACAATACGGACAATTCACAACAAAAATAGTGGGATTTTTTTCCCCCTAAAGAGACAGCACCATCTTGCAGTCGAACAAGAAAAGTAATTAGTCTAAAAACCTTTCTGTATGTTTTCAGACATTCATATAATTCCCTTTGAGCTTTTGTGTTACCTGGACTGTGCTCGGAGCCGAGACTGCAGCCGGGCTTTGAGTCTGGACAGACGCCTCTGTGCTATAGACCATCACTCCGAGAGGATTCGGCTTTGCACCTCCTTGCAGAACAAGCTGTACCTCTTTGCCTTTCCAGTGAGCTGGCTCCTGGAAGGGGCACCAAATCCCCCAACGAAGGCACTGCAAGAAGGCAGCTCTGGATGTGGAGGTAGCAGACAGCTATGAGAATAGAAAACAAGAAAAAAGAAAAGAAAATTTACACTGTCATACTTGCCCAGTTCTGCTTAAACTTTCACCTGGAATTGGAGTATTTGTCTACTTATGTAGGATTAGAAATTCTTACAAAAAACACCCTATTATTAGGGAAAAACTATAACTTGGATATTAGGATGGGCAAAAAGTTGTCTATAATTTGTCTGCACTGTTTTCAGAAGCAATGGGCTTTTTGAGCGTGCAGATGTAAACTGAAATGTACATAAATTGTCATCACACAATAAAGGTGTGGAACAGAGCTATACTGAAAATGACTGCTTTAAGTCATTCACATGTTTTCCAGTGAATGAATGGTCACTAAGACGGAGTTTTGCTGTCCCTTATGCTGATGGCTAACAGATCTTAATGACCTGGATTGTTAAGATGAAAAAAACTAAGTGTACAGAGAAAAATTGACATAAATATTAATCATTGCAATAGTTCACAATAACATCGGAAAGCCATTTTGTCCCAAAGTCATGCAGCCCTTTTTTAACCACTAAATATAGCACCTTAAATAAAACTTCTTGAAATACAGACAGTTATCATGTATTATTCTACACATGGTTTCAGCTGCTTCACTGTGTATAAACCCGGTTTAGAATCAGGGCTGTTCTGGTTCAGACATATAAAGAATGGAGGAAAAGTCTTGTGCTTTAAATCACCCACAGCAGAAACATGAGATTTTGCCGAATTGATTAAAAAACTGAGCCTTAAACTATTACAATCAATCAAATGTGGGACAGTATATATTACCCATACAGTACAACCTGCAAGTCCTTGTTAATTTAGGAGAAAGTGCAGCATATTATGGTTCGCTGAGGGAGTACAATTCCCCTAATCACAACTCGTATGATCCGATGCAGCGGATCATTACTCATACAAATGCTATATTTAATCTAAATGTCATACCGAACCTTTAACCAGGTATAATATGAAAAACAAGAACTGCAGATAATAATTTAGAATCAATTTTAACAATTTCTACTGAGTGACCATAGGAAAAAATCTGCAACAGTAAATGATTTATCAGCTTCTAAAGCTCAGGTCTTTGGAATGAAAAACATACATTGTAAAACAACAAGAGATTGTACTACTTTAAACTAAGAGCAAAATTAAAATTTAAAACTGTTTAACAATTACGCATAACGCGGTGAAGAGAGATAACATTATGAACAAGCTAATTGATCATTTTTAATGGGATGCTGTTGTAAAACTACATTTAGCAAATTATGAGTAGAATGTTATACAGCATAGAGTGCAGGCTGGGAAGTTTTGTTTATCTATTAAGATTGAAATAATAATGACAATACAAATTATACATTTTGATTGAAATTCAAAACGCAGTACTTTAACTCAAGGTTATGATGAAGTAACTCAATCTCAGTATAATGTAGGTTACATTATACTGAGATTGAAAACCAGAGTCAGAAAAATGTCTTCCAATGGTTGATTTCCAGTGAGCTTCGTGAGAAGAAGCCCAAATGAAAGCAACAAGCCTCCACCGATTGATTTAATCCATCTCCACACAGTTCTATATCCCCTTACTGAGCCAGAGAGTCGTATCTGATGTACTGTGTTTCACTGGTGGTGCACAGCAGGAGAGCTGGAGCTGCGTATGACACCACAAGAAAAACTGAAGGGAGGACTAAATTGCTAAAAGAACACAGTTGTTTGAGAAGAGGCTTACTGGTGACTGACGGCTCACATCAGCTGTTTGCTAACACAAGGCCAGAATCATTCCTATCCCATTGTTTTCAACGCTGAACAACATTTCTGACTCACTGGCTTAGACCAGAATTAAATAACCACATAACCAGACTAGAAACACGTCGTTCTTTTTTCTGGTGTTCAGCCAGTCACTCAGGTCTGGTTGAAACTAATGAAATCAAGCCAAAAATGCAGTTAATCAAAGTTGATTCAACACTTACGGGGTGACATTACTATTTCAGACATTACCATGCTGATCTGAGTAACCTTTGCCATTCACAGATAAAATAATTTGAATAATCATTTGGCATTTTTTGTAGTAAGGTTGGTTATCTTAATGTAGTATTACAATCCGTTTGATGGTCTGAAACACGAATGCATAACAAAAATCAGCAAGGGGGCAAATACTTTGTACTGTAAGTCCTCTGAAGTTTTTTTTATTATTATCATTATTATTTCCAGAAACTTTTGTTGCCTTTCAAAAATCATCCTTTAAGCTTGACAACAACACTTATAATTAATTTAGCCACAAGAGGTCTTTACAAGCTAAACAAAAGCGACAATCATTTTGTTCGTTGTTGCGAAGACTAACGAGTGCAATCTCTGCTGAGGACAGATTCAAAATGTCAATTTATTTTGCATTATGCAAAGTAATCTTGCTGACCAATTAACAAAGCCCAAAGTCGAGTGCTCGGATAGGTTAATGGAGCTGACATTTTGAACAGTGCAAGGAATACTGCACTCCAGCAGGGACGCAGCACTCAAAATCTAAAGGTTAAAGATCTGAATATTCGCTTTTTATTATTATGTAAACAAACACCTTATATAAACCCTTTAATACTTCATATGTCTGTTGTTGTCCTTCCCTTAGTTCTATTTCAATATACCAATCTCAGATTACAGCAGCTGCATTGTGTATTTGATTTGTGGCTCTGAAACAAGTGGCTTTACTCGTCATATACATGTAGTCAATAGCTATGCTTGACCCAAATACAAAAAGGACCTGCTTGTTTCACGACGTGCATTTACTGCTTTAAAGTTTTAAGAGAGCCCTAAAGCTGATCAGCACCCCATATCCTGGGACACTTAGCCATCTTAAAACTATGATTTTATCCCCAAGAAGCACAGGTTTTAACAGTGTTTTCTCAAAACTGGAACTGCAGAAATATATGGCAGCCATTAAACAGATAGATGTGTGATCCCTCCTGAGACATTGCTGTTTTCCCATCTTATGCGGCCAAATTAATAAAATGTTTTATGTGAAACATTAAATTAAACTATTTCAGTTCCAAAGTTATGATAAAATGATGGAATGAGCCAAAAGTCTTTTTATGGCCCAGAAAGTAGCCGGTAAAAATTGCGAGGAAATTTAATTGAATGTTTTCCTTCTCCACTCAAACCCTGCCTGCCTGCCTTCACCACACACACACACACACACACACACACACACACGCACGCACGCACACACACGCACGCACGCACACACACCATCTCTAAAATGTATGCATTCCAATAAAACACGACTGAAGGAGTAAAATGAGTGTTCAGCATATGACATAAAACTAATTTCTTATATTATTCACTGTATTTATTGCAGGAGTGATTTGGTAGCAGAGACGCCCGGCTGAGCTGTGAGAGAAAAGAGGAGACAAAAGACCAATCAAGGGGCCTTTTCTGCTGGGACGCTTGCAGCCTTTTATCTGCCCCACACTCAGTTCTTATCACAGACTTTCAGTCTTCCCCAACATAAGAAACTATGAATGACTTTTTCTTTAAAAGTCCTCACAGTAAGTACAAATGAGGACAAAAAGACAAGAAATAGCTGGTGTAAATACCAACTAAAACAAAATATTAATTCACAAATGTTTAAACCAAAAGATAAACTAAATATATCAGAATGTGTGTGTATTACTCAATTTGTAAAGCTAATTTTTCCCAACAAAAACCTTGTGTGGATCCACTGCCCCCCTGAGAAAAATCTTAGGACAACTGGGTGAGAGAGGTAATACTTCTCCTGCCACAAGGGATTTTTTTAAAAATCAATTTCTTAAGGCCTGAATATTGTATTAGAATAAACTGGAAGAATTATGTAACAGCTCTTTGTGAAACTAAAAACTGCATTAATCGCTGTCATGATCTCAGTGTGGTGGTGTTTTAAAGTGCTTTGAGAGAGCAGGATCTACAGATGAACAGCATGGCGTGTTGACAGCTCGGGCTGGCAAAAAAACATGAAAGAGGGAATGTCAGAGACTCAAAGTTTTATAAAAACAAAGATTATAATAACCCCATTCAGAAGTGCGTGCGAAAAACTTCCTATTATTCATCTTTTAAACTGTACATCTCAGAACCGCTAACAATAAAACTGTGTCACAAAACTTCTTGAATAAAGTCCAGCAATGTCATATTTATATGCAGGTACAAGGCTTTTAATGGCTTTGTGGTAAAATCAGAGCACAGCAGGAGGTAGTTAGCCAATGTATGCATAGGTTGAAGATTTTTATTGAAGACATAAATGTAAGAAAAAAAAAAAAGGCCAGGAAAAATCGACTTATTCTGAGCGCCACAGTAGCACACTGAGTCTTAATCAATTGCATGCTGGCTGGTGAGAGCAGAGACATTAAATCAATGACTATATTTTAGAAGAAGTATAACTTTTTACACTTCAAGTGTTATGGACATGGAAAGAAAAATTTGAATTAATCAAAGATTTTGTCTTTTGAATTAAAAGTTTGTTGTAAGGCTGGCCATTATGTCCAAACAGGCAGAATGATCAATGGGTTATTTCCCCACAGTGTGATTACACAGCTGATTTGAGTGTTAAAGGCTATATTCAAAACAAGCCATTAAGTTTCAGTTAGAAAGAAAGCCGGCACGTTTCCAGAGTGCGCTTAGAAGTGAAGAATTAAAAACGTAGGCCCAAGGCGCAAACAAGGAAGGAAGGAAACTTTTTTCATAAAGTTCGACTGAAAACAATAACAGGCAATGTCACTTCACACATAATTGCTCCATGTAGCAAAAACATTTTCTAAGGGGAGAATCCATCAAAATGGATTAGAAGAGCAATGCTGCATTGTTTCCAGACAAATAATGAAATTGTCTGTTTCAAACATTTAACGGGGAAGAAACAAAGACTCCACCGCTGTGACCTGAAGCAGGAAGGGTAATCATCTAACTTCTGCAGGGCATTAAGAAGATGAGGGAGAG